CTGGACGTTTTTGGAAAAGAGGCGTAGCACCTCCCATACTGACTGAAAGTTTCATATTACATATCTCTTCAAATATTTGGGGTAAAGTACTCAAGCTTGATATGGAAAAACATATGTATGTATGTATGTGAAACTAATCCCATACGCATGGAGAAAAATGAGAGTTAAGTTCATTCAATAGAAAAGGGAGAGCCGGCTTCGGCCTTATAATCTAAAGCTCTCATGATGCATTCATACCTCTTGAGGCATTTAGTTACAGAATGAGAAGTGGTATTTTATCAAGACCAGGTTACTAAATTTGAGTTGGAAATATTAGAACCCCCCGTCGCACCTCCAAGAAGGTTACACGTTCACGCGTCGTATTCCTGGAACCATTCTAAGGTAAACTTAGAGGGATTGATATCTTTCGTATACCTAGCGCGTAGACGAGATTTTATAATTTCATAGTTTTAACAGATTGGGCACAGAAGTAAAATATAACATCATTAAATTATTTTTCATATTTGTATAAAAACCTGGGGTGAAACCCGCGGGTATAAGCTTGTTAAGGTATAAATTCTTGAGCGGTCAGACCTAAAGCTCGGAGTTTTCAGACGGTTGTTTTTAGGTTCTGGGGAATAAAAAGACAGATATTAAACAAATGTGCCAGTTACCAAATGTAAGAAAAAAGGCTGCTCACAACTGCAACTGAATTTCGCGTAATTATAAAAAGCATGCATTTTCGTATGATAGTCGTTGAGCGGTAGTTATTTTACATCTGTGGCTATAAAGTATACTTCTTTACTTCTTGAGAAGAAGAATCCTAGGTTAAAGGACAACCTGCTACTTATCATTTCTAAAAATTGTCTTGAGAAAACGCGTGATTAGTGCGCAATTTTTTAATTAATAATAGTTTTTCGTTGAGCACAATCAATCAAAAGCAAAAAAATGCATAAGTCCTGGTGTAATATTCTGTATTTGTGTATTTGGTTATGTCTAAAAAATGTTTACCTCTAAAAATTATTTTAATGGTCAGTACTGTATAATCCTTACTAAAATAAATGCGAATGGTTTGTTTGTTACGGTTTCACGCTTTAACTACTCAACCGATCATAATGAAATTTCGTACACTGGTCATTTAACTTAAAGTAAATTATAGGACAGTTTTTATCTCAATTAGCCAAATGGGCGTGGCACCTCACATACAAACGGAATTTTTCTTACTGCCCTGCAAACCAAAGTTCCTGAAATCTTAAGGAAATCGTTAGGAGTATCTCATTTCTGCAACGATTTTTCAACGAATTTTCAAAAAAAAACTTATATGAAGTGGTTGACACGAACTCGTAGAGAAATTTCTGTACGATAAATAAAGAAAATTCTGTAAAAATTCTTAAAGATATTCTTCACATAGTACCATTATTTTCGTTGCTTCCCAGATTTTCTTCCGAAATTTCGTAAAAGAATGGGAATTTTCCTTATTTTATTTTATTTTGGAAAATTCGGCAAAAAATCGAATTAAATCTTAACTAATTCTTTAAAATTTCTTTACAATGCAGAATACTCTGAAAAAATGGTTAGCAGGGCGCATAGAACTTGGCATGGAGTTCATATATACTATACTGATGGAAAAAATGTGGGTTCCTGGAAAAGGGCCCGTAGCACCTCCCATACAGACTGAATGTTTTATACTACCACCTGTTAGGGAATTAACTTCAATTCAAAGTATTTTATAGGTTAAATTAATGATTACAAAATGGATGTCGAATGAGTCGTTGTATCCCGGAAATGGTGATTCTTAGGAACAAAAGCGTCTTATCGGTTTTTAGAGATAATGGCATGATTTACACTTTTGTCTAACCTATTTTTATGATAAACCTTACCGTTTAGCTGAAAAATGGTAAAAATCAATTTATGTGACTTTGACCTTGAATAATTTTGTTTACAGATCTGGGATCAATAAGAACTTTTCACATTTGATTTATAATGATGTTCATAACATTCTTAGCAATTTTTAGAGCTATACGATTTACTGCAACCTTGAAAATCTAACTAAAAATATTCGTTCCGACTTCCTGTGCTTCATTTTATATGAATTTTGAGTTTTTCTTGAGAGCTGCAGACAGGCCCATTGAAAAAATCAAAGTTATTCGATAGTTTTTGTTGAAACCATTGATGGCGGCGATCATCGATGTTTCTCCAGCTCTAGTACACATAATGAACCGCACATCTGAGCATAGGATTGCTTTTAAAATATTTCGGTTTCTTTTCTAAGCTCTATGGGGGTTTTACTTTTTTCGAAACTTAGCGTCATTTTGTCAATTAGATTTCAATATTTATCTGCCTTTCAAAACATTATTTTTAGAATAAAATTCGTGTTTGAAGAAAAGTTAAATTTTAAAACCTAGTTGAGGAAACGATTCTTAGGGAGATTCACCGTTACAAAATAAATGGAAATAATAAATGTCATTCCTAAATGCACATGCTTATTTCCTTGACATTCTACCAAATAACATTTCTTAATGCAATTGAGTGCGTTTTTATTGACGGTACAAAATTCTTTAGTAGGATTCAGTTTGCACAATTAAGGCCCTTTTATTTATATATTTATTCACAACTTTTTTACTCGCTTATGTACTGGGATACTAAAATTATTAATGACACAAGGAATTCTTAAGCAAACAAATTTTACCGACTTCAATGCTCATGTAGAACTAAACCATTCAGGTACCACCCTTTTCCGATAAAAACGGATTATCGAAAACGCTTCACGTGGTTCAAAGTTATACTGTAACATAAATAAAAAAATACTCTGACACCTCTGTTTTGAAGACGGTTAAACAATTCTGCAAAAAAAAAAACAGACAAGATTGCATAAAAATCTACTTATGTTTTGTATGTGCGTAGTATAAATATGTAATGTTCCTCAACTTGTACATATAATTAAAAATATAATGGCACTATAGAATGGCATAAATCGAGTTTATGCATTATTTATTCATTCTAATAAGTAATTTAAATATTTCACCAATTATAGATACAACCAATACTTCCAAATGGTAAAAAATCATATAATTTTAGATGATCGGTTGTGGGCAACTCGACAAAGGCAAAATATCTCAATGGTATAAGGCCTTCTTAACCCTTCGTCTGACACATGAGTCCAGCCAGGCCTTTTCCATTTTCAAATTACAAAAAAGGGTACTTTAAATATAGCTAGAGGCTTGAAATTTTAGGTAGCTTGCTAAAGTTTAGTAAATTACCAATATGTAAAAAATCGTGTTGGTATCATATATATAAAGCTAGATATATAGAGATGTTGATTAATACATCACATTCGTAACACNCACTGAAAGTGTCTTCTCCACTTCTTTTAGAAAATAATTATGAAGGAATGTTCCGTTATTATAAACCATCGCTTGAACTAAAAACGGCGGATGATAGTAGTAGCAAAATATTTACAGTAGTAGTACAACCAAATATTTTGAAGCATTAAAGTAGTGGCGAAAATGTCGTCTATACGTAAAAAATACAGCTGCATAACTAAAGTCCAAGGAAGAACTGATTCTGGATGCTGTCTTCAATATTTATGAAGAAGCGAAAGTAAAAGTTCTGGACTCTGCTGAATATCATAATTAGGACTCGGAATCTCATGCACTAAAAATCGAAAATATGCGCATATAATTTGCTACAAAGTTCAAAAATATGAGCTATAAACAAGTAAAATATGCAATTCAAAATATATTCCTAATATTTTATTGCCGGTACAAAAATAAATAACAAATGTATTTTAACAAGAAAATAACGAAAACAATTAACTTCAAAATACAATACTTATTTATGCATAAAATTAGTTTATAATTTAGCGCAGCCACAATCTTGTGGATATAGAAACATTGAGAGTTTAATAGTGGTTCAGATGGATGTTCGATTGGTTTAAGTGGTGGCAAGATATTAGTAAGTTTGTCATTTTGATTCCACAACTCAAACAACCTACAGCCGTTTGGCGGCTCTAATGAATTTCAGTACCTCATACAGAGAGAGGCAGCTGCACTCTACAACATCCTGCAGGAATGGCTTGCCGAGTGTCTTAAGCATCATCCTTGCGAGAGCTGGACACTCGCACAGGAAGTTTCGACTGTCTCTATATCGCAACTACGACAAAACCTGTTGAAGGGTAATCCAATCCTTTCGGCATGTACCCCACCGGGACAGTACCCTGTGCACACTGCAGTAAGTTTGTAGGTATCTTCTTTGTTAATTCTTAAGGGAGCTTTGGTTTTAAGTGGGTCGTAGGACACCTAGAACTGCCGGGTAATCCTGTAGGATCCTTCACAGTTCGACCTCTTCTTGGCCTTCGAGTGATAAATTTTGGTATTTTTTTTTGGGACACATTCAGCGCGGAGCCGCACCTTGCCAGGTCGTCCGCTGCCTTGTTTTCGTAAATGTCTCTATGTCCCGGGACCCATATCAGGGTAAGTTTGTATTGATCAGAGATATAGGCTGGCTCTCTCCCACAATTCTTCACAAGTTGAGATTTAACAGAGGTATAAGAGAGTGCCTTAATGGCCGCTTGGCTGTCCGAGAAGATATTCAGATGAATATTTTGGAAAAAGTTATAGGTATTTTTTAAATGGTTGTATTTTTTTATTTAAATAGTTGTAAGTAAAAAAAAGCAGAAATGTGCAAAACTATATGCGTTTATTGTAAAATAAACAAAAATATTCGCAATAAATATGAAATTTTTTGCTATATATGCAAAACTATGCGTTTACTGCAAAATATGCAGAGCCGTAATCATAATATTATTACTTAAGCAACCAAAAAACAATCCTGCGTAATAGATTCCATAAAAAAAAACAATAATAAAATACTGGAAATTATATTTGTTTTGCCTTTTTTCTACTTAAAAAAAAATTCAAGAAAGTAGAACAATTCGAGTCACCTCAATTACAAAGTGATTCTAATTTGTAAACTTCTATTGTACGTAGTTTGAAGAATCCAATTTTAATAGAGTATCTATGTATATTTTGATGTTGTTTTTCAGTTTATTAGTCATTCAAAGTATAGTTAAAAATAGCAACAGTGGGCTAGTCCTCTGTTTTCTCTGGTGAGTTACAAGTGTCTTTGCCCGAAAAACACCAACATTCATTCTTAGTGAAACCTTACAAAACTGATATTAGACGATTTCTTATATATATATGTACATACATACATTCACATATGTATATGCATATTATAACTGCAACAGATATACATACAAACATATATAATTATTATGCATATGACACGTAAACATGAAAGTTATACAAACAGCACATACATATCGTCGCTACCATGTCAAACTATCGAATATGAAAATGGGTACTTTTTAGGAAAGCAAAAAAACTGTTGTAAAAATGGTTGTTTTTTATTAGTAAAAAGTGAGGGAATCTACACTTTGTTAAAGCAATGCTTCTAAGTAGACTCGAAATTTGACTATTTGGCAACTTGCGTATCATTCTAAACGCATGCGCAAGGTGTCGTAATTGAAAAATAATTTTTGCACATTCGATAGTTTGACATGGTAGCGACGATATGTATATATGGACAATATGTAATTATTATCGTCAATCAAGTTCAGAGAAATTACTTCACACTCTGTAAATAGCTTGTTTTCATATACACCGACAAATAAAACCGATGAAGGTGGGTAACCGCGGCGATCGACAATTTTCCTTATCTGGACGGCTTAACACTATATGGTGGCAATTACAAGTAATAGTTGCTTACCTTCTATTTAAATAATACATATGTACGTGAAAAAGTCCTATGAATTATGTAAATTTTATATGCTATTATTATTTTTTTTAATATTTCAATGTTTAAATGCCTGGAATTCCTTGCGTTGCAGAAGTAGAAAATATATGTTCCCGGATTTTTTGTTACGTTATGACTGTCACCACTATAAGGACGCCAATAAACAAAGATATTCGGCGAACTTTGCCTGCAAAACGCCAACGTCGCTGCATTGAATACTGGTGGTTGCGGTCCTGTGTACACTCTGCTGCCCCAAGCCAGCACTCACTCATTCATGCTTCAGACGCTTCGCAGAATTGCCGACGGAGGAAGAAGCATTGTTGATATTGGATGAACTAAGTTGTTGTTGTTGCTGCTGTTCGTGACTCTCGCTGATAAATTCCAACTGGTAATCGAATTCAAAATCAATATCTTTGTGCTATATTGCCGAAGGGGAGGGGGAATCGCATAAGTAAATATAACCGGAAACAGATTCTAATGAATCTCACCATTCGATCGCAGATAACTGCAATTGTCGTTTTTTGTTGCGCTTCAGCTATTTTGTGCTCCACCAGGTAAAACATATACTCATCATATAGCAAACGTATTAAATGAAAGCTACCGAAACTGGAAGCAGAACGTAATGTCAGGTCACGTATTACCATGGAGCTGTAGAAACTCCACTTGAGTAGGAATTGACGTGCTGCCTTGGCGTAGCTTGGCTTGCCACGATACTCCTGTAGAGCAGAATCCACAACCAGTTGCAACCATGAGGCCCATTGTTCTAGCGAACTTTGTTGTTGTAGTGCAGCTTTAAAATCATTCTCCAAACGTTGAACGACCGCCGGCTCACACTGGCATACCCAAGCAGCTTGTTCCTACAAAATAAAATATTATGATTAAATAGAAATCAAGCATGTATTATTAGGTGAGAAGGGCGATTTTCATTCCGCGCGAATTCAAAGATGTATAATTATAAAGAAACATACACATATCATATATGATATTTTAATTACCGTCTTTATGGTCCGATTTCGTTCAAATTAGCTTATGTAGTTGAAACAAAATAAGTCATACATTTCCAAAAACTTACCTTGAATTGGCACTGAAGTCAAAATAAAATATATTCGACATAACATTAATGTTTTATTTCAGAGATCATAACGATTATAAAAAATAAAATTAAATATAGCTGTATAATTATTACTGAACAATGAAAAAGTGGTTTTCGTCTTCTGAGACGAAGATCGTAAGACTAAACACTTTTTCATATCTTCTGGGACTTTTATTATTTTTCGTCTCCCGGGACGTTTATTTCAAGACGGAAATGAATTACTTTCCATGCTTTATTTAAAAAAAATTGTTAAAATCAAAACCATTTTTAAGAGACATCAATGCACAACATTCTCAAACTAGTCACATTGAAATATTGCCTCAGGTTTCACTGAAATCGGCGTTTGAATTGTTGGTTGCGAAAACCTCTTTTGTTTTTGTCCCGTGCGAATGGCCTGGTTAATTAAGAGCTATGCGGTTTTAGATTACGGTTTTTTCAGTTTGAATGTGTACGATGGACATGGAAATGCCCATATGTATGCATATATGTATATATACAGTGTCCTAGACCACCCGACGAACCTTTCTAAAATGGAGGAAAATGTTTTCTTGTTTTATTGGAAAACGCAAAAATATGAAGCACAGTAGAATCGCGGAAAAGTTAACTCACGCAAAAGTTAATCGCTCGGCTAACTAACCGATTTCAGCATTCACGTACTGCTCTAATAAGTTAACTTTTGGGTTAAGTTTTCTGAGCTTACAAATTTTTCAAACCAACCATTTGTTTGTTACAAAAACAAGCGCGAGCTCAATTTCGTTTACGGGTATTTCCCGAATTTCTCTTTGTCGTGAGCATTTTAATTTGTGAGTTTAAAAAATGTCAACAAAGCAGAAAAGGTCATCGTAAATCAAATTAAATGTACATCAAAAATTGGCGTAAATTTCAGATTTAATTTAAAAATTTTCCTCATATTTTCAATGTCCTCATAAAACTTATTAATTCTTTAAATAGTGCACATATTCTTCTTTCTTATGCCTACAAAAACCTTAAATTGGTTAAAACAATAACCGAATTAGTGCCAGAAGTAATTTGAAAAGGTTTTTTAAGAATAAGTTTCGTGACCTGTACTAGGTCACTTAAAAAGTTCGTGCACTTTTCTTTATTTTGTAACGCCGTGTTATTAACCGACTTAAAAAAATGGAGTTGGCTATTAATTCGTCGGAATATTTTTTTTTTTTTCGCTTAAGATTACTTGTTTTACATTATTTGGATAAAAAAAGTCACGCACACCAACATTGATGCTGATAAAAATCTAGCTCAATTTGTGATGAACTCTGTTTGCTTTGTTTCATATCTATATCATAATATGGTATTTAATTTAAAATTGTTATTCCTTTATTGTTTGCTCTTGTTGAAATTTAAAGTATTAATAATCAAAAATTTTATTTTCTAATAACAAACAAATTCATAGAACAAAAATTTAACTTCATGAATTTAAACAAGTGTAAATGGTTAATTACCCTACATTTACTCAATATATCATAAAATGATGTTTAATGTAAAATTGTTATTCCTTCAACGGCCGCTGTGGTGTAGTGGTAAGCAGTGCGCGCTTCCACTCCGCAACGTCTGGGTTCAAACCCTGGTCAAAGCAACATCGCAAAAATATAGAAAAAAGGTTTTTTCTTAACAGCGGTCGTCCCTCGACAATGGCAAACCTCCGAGTGTATTTCTGTCATGAAAAACAGCTTCTCATAAAAATACAATCGCCGTTCGGAGTCGGCGTAAAACTGTTGGTCCCTCCGCTTTGTGTGACAACATCAAGGCGCACGCCACAAATCGGAGGAGAAGCTCGGCCAAACACTAACATATGTGTAAGCGCCAATCTATTAATATTATTCCTTTATTGTTTGCTCTTGTCGAATGTTAAAGTATTAATAATCAAATTTTTTTTTTTCTAATAACAAATAAATTCATAGAACAAAATTAAACAAGTACAAAACATACAGTTTAATTACCCTACAATAGGCGAGTTTTTTTACCCGCATACGTATCTGCGCTTATAAATTGTATGGAGCTGTAAGCGACAAACTTTATGTGTGCTTATGAATAGTTGTCGATAAAATCAAAATTACTTGTTTCGAAATGGAAATTGTCGATGATTGTTTTTTTTACCCATTAAGCGTGTAAAAAAACACGGCTAATATCTACTTTGATTATGGTTGAAACAGTTCAAGTTTTTGTATAAAATTTTGTTTAAAATTTCTTTTTCCCTTTTTTAGTAGGTTTCTTACCATGTCTTCTGGCGAATTGGTCGTGATAGATACGGAACTGAATAAGCGATTGAAACGCGGCTATTGTCAAAAGCATACGATTTCGCGTAAATGTACATTTGTAAAATGCGTAGGCGCTCTTCGAAAACATATGTTTGAAAGAGCTAAATGTTGCATTTCAAATGCAGCAAACCGACATTTCATTCAATATTTTATAAAGAGAACACACTTAAATGTAAGATTTTTTTTTTTAAGGTGGAGTTAATTAATTTGTGTAGTGAACTGCTTATTTAATACAAAATTGTCATGGAACTTATTTGTGACATGTTTTACATGCACCAGATCTGTCTGAATTTATTCCCACGGAACTTACGTTATGGTTCAGTGCAAGTTATGTCGAAACCCCGATAATTTTATACATTAACATGTGTACGACAAAATTTTACATAGCACAAAAAAGCTTCATGAAATTAAATTCGCAATGCATGACACTAATTACGTAATGCACAAAAAATCGGCTTAACTGTATAGTAAAAATTAAAAATAATATCACTTTAATTTTATTTTAAAACTTAATAAACCCCTCCTTTTTGTAAAGTCGGTAAATAAAGTAATTTTAAGCAAAAAATTAAAAATAAACCGACTTCAATGCTCAAATAAAAATTTAGGAGTACTGTTTCTTCATGATCTAATGGTTGGAATTATCGAAAACGGTTAAAAAAAATATTCCGTCGAACCGAAAAGCATAATTATTTTCCGATTTTTATTTAAAAAATTAAAAGCAAGAATTTTTGTGATTTTTATAATAAAAATCAGAAATCAAACGTTTTCCCTGTCGGCAAAAGAGGAAAATAACTTTGATTTATAATTCTTAAAATAAAACTTTAAGATGATTTTTAAATAAAATATTCTACATATAATCTGATTTCGAATTAAAATTTACTCCATCAAGCAACTATAACTATGTGCCATCATTTTCAAATAGTTTCCGTACGTTTTTAATTTGATAAATCTACAAAATTTAAAATCACTTTGAAACAGCATCAAACCTAAAAGAAAACTTCGGAGGCATTACCAACCTGCACATTATGGAAGTCCACACGATTTAAGTCGTTCAGCATTTGAGTGATTTGCGAGCCATTCTGGAGAACAGCACGAGCAGCCTGTGCCAAATGGTTGAGCGATGTGTAGCGGCGTAAAGTTTGACAAAAAGCTGACACCGCTGATGATTTTATTTGTACCAGACGATCTGGCACTCCAACCATAGACTCGCACAACCAAAGTTCCAAGTTTTTGGCAAAATTACGAATGGCCTGTGTCAAAGCATTCGGAATGGAGCGCAACACATCGGGAATGATTACATCAACCATATTTTGGTAGAATTGATAGTCCACCTACCGAAGCGAAAAATTGATTTAAAATTTGATTTAAAATCTTAAACGTAAAAACCCAAAAGCGTCACCTCACCTCCTTGATGAACTTTTGTACTTCTGCGCAATGGCACAGCAAATACAGTTTTGCCTTGCTCAGATACTTTTCCTCTTCGCATTCGTCCATATTGTTGTTGTCGGTCGCACGCCAAAACTCGCGCCACAAAAATTCAATGGTACTAAATTCCAGGTTGAGCACAGCATCTAAAAAGGACTCGCAGTGTTCACGATACATGGCACGAAATGTTTCCACATCATCTTGTGAGAGTTCGTTGCTGTATGTATGATCCAACTCGATAGGAGGAAAGGTGGGAATCGCGCCAGCACCATCGCCCAGATACTATTAATATTAAAAAATATGTAGTTATATTTGCAGATGCATTAATTTGCTTATTAAGCAATTAGGTAGATAAACTATTTATTGATGTAACAGTTATATACCTGTGCACAAGTCTCATATGTTTCTGGTTTGAAATTTAATTTTTTCAAACTGCGATTGCCATTGTTCGACATATTGCCACTACCGCAACTACCACCTGCGCCGCTGGATGTAACTACACCACCGGTAGTTGAGTGTCCAATGCTACCCGCTACTCCATTTACGGAATGTGTTGAATACGTCGGCTTTTCGTCCATCATATGGTTTAATATGGAATCCGGTTTGATGCGTATGCCATAGTAGTGATATTTGGAATTGCCGCGTGTGCCCAAACGACGTGTGCGCAAGCCAGAGAACACCGAACGAATTAGTTTGCCGAAACTGGCAGCATTCACCGGCTCCAATTTGTTCTCGTTGCAGTGCTGTATATAATGATTGTACAGAGTGGAACGGGGTAGACTGACTCCATCAGCCGTCTCGTAGTTACGTGACAACCACTTGATCTGCAGCAGCCACCACCAGCACAGAATTCAAAGTTACAGGCGAGTGAAAGAGAGACAAAAATATCGACATTATTTAAAGTTTGGACCAGCACTCAATCGTATAGCAATGGGGTAACGCAAGGATGTGGGTGCAAAAGGCGATGGGCGTTATGCACAAATTTTGCATGTAATTTACAAAAATTACGTTGGCATTTTCAATTTATTACTTTAACACTCGTAAGGAGTATGACATTGAGTACATAGCTTACCGTCGCAGAAGCAACTTTATTGGTTGTGCCAAGTCCATTTTGGTCGCTGTCTGGTGATGCACCTCCACCGCCAGTGCCGATACTACCACCGCTTACAGAGTTCGTTGTTGTGGTAGACGTTGGGGTTTGTGGGGTACTCTGCGTTTCTTGGATATAAGCCACTTCCTAAAAATAGTAAACACATAGCAATGAAGACTCAGTGAATGCATTTTTTTTTGGTGTTATGGAAATTCTGTGGTATTCGATGGTTACCGTTAAGCTATGCGGTGAATCTCGACTGTGGGATTGCGACGATGTATTGAGCAATAATCCCTCTTCAACTGGTACCAAATATGGCAATGACGACGCGTGTGTGGTGGGCGTGTTTGCAACCGATGCGGTTGCATAATTGCTTGTTGCCGCTGTTGAATAGTAGGCTTGGCCATTTGCTTGGTAGTCGCCGACCGGGCAAAAAGGATACGTCCTACGTGGGAGGTTAACATTTATTTAAAGTACAAATGGATATTATAGCCTCAATTAATTTCTATTTACATTTGCGTTTGACTGGAATTGCCGTGATACAACTCTGTATCTACATATTGCACTTGATAATTTTGGCCAGCATCCTGCGCCGAAACTGTAATATAAAAAATGAAAATAATCTTAATGTATTTATTTACGTATGCTATAAAACTTGGTCAAAATACGATTAAATATTTTGCCCTTAAACGTGAATATGGTACTTATTTATTTTTCCAAAGAAACCCGTGAATTAAAGTAACTTAAGTGACTTTTAGAAGGTTTGACTTTGATTTAAAAAGTAATCCGTTTCCCTTGAAAATTTTCATATTTTTATTACGCATCTTGAACTACACCTATGCTTGCAATTTCAATTTTTTTTGCCGAACCTAGGGATCGTCATTTTACATTTTTCGGTGACACCTGCATTCGGCAATAACATTTTTTTAAAAGTTCTACTGAAATAATCATAATACTTCCTTAACAAAGGTTTACGGTTCTTGGTGAGCTTTAATTTACTGCGATGAGGGTGGCAGAACCGAAATCTGGTCGGTAAGTACTAGAACGGGGTATTTGAGATAAATGAACTTTGGAACAAAAAAAGTGTCTCCTCGAACCCTACGTTCGGGAATTTTTTTCAAAAAGGTTTTGCAAAAAATTCTTTAGACTCAGGGGCGTACGGCGAACTTTCTGTCGGTGCGGTCTTATGTATGTACATTAAGGCGTATCACGAAAAAAAGTTTAGCGTGTCAGTTTGATTTGAATATTTATGTCAAGAGAAATTGTTGGGTGTATCGCGTTTTTTGCCATACATTTCTTATTTCATATCCGATTTTTAAAGTCTTTATCACCGAAAACGGCTCGCTCAGACTATACATAATTGAATATAGCCTAACCCGTTTATAACAAGGTCGTCATCGTATGAAAATAAAAATCTAGGGATAGTAATTCCAAAATTAATTAAGGTATTAATTAAAACGGTGTTGAAGGCCAAAACTTTTTAATGGACAATTATAGTCATGCGTGAGACCTTTCCAGCGATATAAAGATTTGAAAAATCGGGTATAAAATAAGAAAGTTGTAACAAAAAACGCTATTTAGGGGTTTTAGCGGTTGGCTAACAAAAAAAATTACACCCTAAGGCACACCGCACATTACGCGGCTAATCAAAGTAGATTAATCGTTTTGCCATGCCGAAACGAATGTATGACTACTCGACTTCTGCTCACTTGCACACCCTACATAAGTCACCAGCTAATAAACACTTTCTACACATAACATATTTTCTGGTCGCACAAAAAAGTAAACAAATGCCGATTTCAAAATGGCAAGCGCCTTACAATGTTGGTGCTTTGATTTATGAAGCTTTTATGATTAGACGAAAACACGATTATGAATCGTAATGTACAAAGCTTCATTGAAATAAATGCGTTCGGCATAAAAGCTTCATATTTTAGTATGCAGAGACGATTACCCTACTATGGTTAGGCGCTTAATGTGCGGAGTGCCTAAATTTTCTCTCGACATATGAGAAGTCCACTTGCAAAGTGCGCTATGAAAAATTTTTGAAATTTTTAGTGCAAAACACAATTCACAGTGCAAAATCTTTTTATGTTCTGAAAAAATAGCATCAAATGTTAACTCTTCTTCCAAAAGTCGCTATCATACTTATTTATAAACTTTCATAAGTATACATCTTCCGATGAACTTAGAAAACTGCTTTAGGTCGTATAGACTAGAGTTGTAAAACTATCGATAGTGCCACCATCGATAGTTTCCATGCTTCAGAAAAAAACTATCATTACTCGCTGATAGTTTCCAGCAATACTATCGATAGTGTCAAACGCTACCCTCGATAGTACTATCGATAGTCAATGTAACGTTATGTTCCAAATTAACAGGGACGGCATCGAAAAACCAAAAACAAAATATTGAAAATATAAACACACTTAGGGTCGTTTTCTTAAGTAAGTTTTAACTTTAACATTCACTTTATGTTTAAATATTGCTTTAACATTTATAGTTCTGTCTAAGTAAAGCATTTTATTAAATTGTATTTATTTATTTATATATCTATTACTGAAGCTTACGATTAAAAATAAAATTATGAGCCTAGTAAAGAAAGCTTCTTCTTATGATCTATAACACATGGCAACAAAAATGGGAAAAAACTTGTTGCGGCAAATGTTACAGCTGTTTTTGATTGGCCTGTCAGTGCTGCTTACGAATCCATGAGCATAAGGTTTCCATCGGCTCCAGACTTTATGAAAAACGAGGTCAAAATGTCAAAAAATCGGGGTTTTTTGGCAATATTTTAAAAGCTCTAGCAAAGAACCAAAGGCGGTATTAGGCTTAAATTAAAGCTATAAGTCTCGACTACGATCCCTGAAAATACCATCCCTACACCTTGACCTGAATTGAACAGCAAAACCTGATTTTTTGCGAAGTTTGAGTACCCACCGCAATTAAACAAAAGGGGATAGAGCCTTCCACTTGGGCTGAAATTAAGGATTGAACTTTCGACTACAATCGCTTAAAATACCGTCCCTGAACCTTAATCGTAAGGTCACTTATATTTATTTATTTAACAGCAAAAACTGATTTTGGCAAAACTTATTTTTTTTTTTTCAATGGCACAGTATTTATTCCAGTATTTTTATATTGTTCAATAAATGACTTTTAGTGACCATCAGGTCAAGGTGCAGGGAAAGTAGTCGAGAGTTATATCTTTAATTTAAGCCCCAATTGAAGGTTCTATCTCCTTTTTTTGTGCTAGACTTTCTAAAATACAGCAAAAAAAGGGATTTTTTGACACTTTGACCTCGTTTTTCTCAAAATCTGAAGCTGATGGAAACTTTATGCTTACGGACTCGTAATCAGCATAAAAAAGTCTATCAAAAACAGCTTTATCGTTTGCCGCAACAAAATCACTGTTACCTTATTTAATTGTTGCTTATTATAAATTTTCAAATATGATATATTTTGTTTAAATTTCATAATACAATTTTTTGATTTGTTTACAGCCAAGAAACATACAAACGTCAAACACCGATAATAGAAATGCTTTACTTCAGACATAGCTTTATGGTTTGAAGCAACGTTTAAATATAAAGGGAACTTCTCAATTAAAGATTGCTTGAGAAAACGGCCATTAAAGGAAAAATCACAATGAAAGTATCACTTATAATAAAAAATTGACTAACTTAAAAAACTGACGCGCAGCTACATGGAGACATTATAAATAAAATCGGCTGTGCAAGAAGTTTAAAACTATCGATAGTCAACTAGTACTATCGATAGTTTAACCTAACTTTAACTATCACTACTCATCGATAGGGGCAAAAAAATAAAACTATCGATACTATCGATAGTACCATCGATAGTTTGACACCTCTAGTATAGACCGTTAATGTTATCTTATGTCATGTTATGTTATGTTACAATTTTATAAGGCTCTTATTTATCCAAATTTTCAGGTAATAATAAAAAAGATTCAATTTAAATATCACTTATTGTCGTAGTCGTTTTTAAAATTTTTGGCTTTCTATTATAAAATCACATAACGCTGTTTGCAAGTGGACTACTCATATGTGTTGAAATAAAAGTGGCACACGGCAAACTTTTTTTCTGTCATATGTCTGGGCTTATGTATGTACATACTGTACATTTGTAGTATATAAAATGCCCGTTTTCTGAGTCGTTTTTGGCCATATTTATGAGAGCTGAATACGGGACAAAAAATAATTTTGCAAATTTTTTCCACAAANGTGCTAGACTTTCTAAAATACAGCAAAAAAAGGGATTTTTTGACACTTTGACCTCGTTTTTCTCAAAATCTGAAGCTGATGGAAACTTTATGCTTACGGACTCGTAATCAGCATAAAAAAGTCTATCAAAAACAGCTTTATCGTTTGCCGCAACAAAATCACTGTTACCTTATTTAATTGTTGCTTATTATAAATTTTCAAATATGATATATTTTGTTTAAATTTCATAATACAATTTTTTGATTTGTTTACAGCCAAGAAACATACAAACGTCAAACACCGATAATAGAAATGCTTTACTTCAGACATAGCTTTATGGTTTGAAGCAACGTTTAAATATAAAGGGAACTTCTCAATTAAAGATTGCTTGAGAAAACGGCCATTAAAGGAAAAATCACAATGAAAGTATCACTTATAATAAAAAATTGACTAACTTAAAAAACTGACGCGCAGCTACATGGAGACATTATAAATAAAATCGGCTGTGCAAGAAGTTTAAAACTATCGATAGTCAACTAGTACTATCGATAGTTTAACCTAACTTTAACTATCACTACTCATCGATAGGGGCAAAAAAATAAAACTATCGATACTATCGATAGTACCATCGATAGTTTGACACCTCTAGTATAGACCGTTAATGTTATCTTATGTCATGTTATGTTATGTTACAATTTTATAAGGCTCTTATTTATCCAAATTTTCAGGTAATAATAAAAAAGATTCAATTTAAATATCACTTATTGTCGTAGTCGTTTTTAAAATTTTTGGCTTTCTATTATAAAATCACATAACGCTGTTTGCAAGTGGACTACTCATATGTGTTGAAATAAAAGTGGCACACGGCAAACTTTTTTTCTGTCATATGTCTGGGCTTATGTATGTACATACTGTACATTTGTAGTATATAAAATGCCCGTTTTCTGAGTCGTTTTTGGCCATATTTATGAGAGCTGAATACGGGACAAAAAATAATTTTGCAAATTTTTTCCACAAAGCTTACAGATCTTAAAGCCTTTTTTAATAATCCTTAATGTATTAGCCCTGTGACAGTATCCTTTTACCCCGTAAAATCTGTTAAAAAATTCGATAAATCTGAGTATAATAAAGTGCAATTTTAAGCTAAGGCTTACCATTAATTTTTGGCATTTTTTTTTTGTTGGCGGTGTTACTTATTTTTTTTCTTACAAAGTAAGTATGTCCGACCATTTTTTTGAAAGAGAAACAAATGAGCCGAACTTTTCACTCGCACTTTATTATACTCAATTGCAAACCAAATTTTTTTCTAGAGATTCTAATTAAAAAGTTTGAAATTTTGGTGAAACATTGCAGAATTAATTTTTATACTTTT